TGATCGTAACTGGGTATATGTCTATACAGTTGATCATTTTCAATAATGTAGTCTGTGAATTTTTTTGGGTACAATCTAACCTCCTCTTTTCGTTTGTGAACCCAATCTCGTTCACCATACGCGCCGTCGCTGATTTTTATCCTTCTAACAGAGGCTGCCATTTCTTCCGGTTGACGCGATAATGCATCAGCTACCACATTGTACTTGCCTTTCCGATATTGCACTTCAAAATTGAACTGTTGCAACTCCAGCGCCCAGCGTGCGATTCGGCCAGATGGATTAGAAATTGAATTTAACCATTTCAATGACAAATGGTCCGTTCTCACCGTGAATCTGTATCCTTCTAAATATGGTCGCATTTTACGGATACCCCAGATGATTGCTAAACACTCCTTTTCAGTAGGGGAGTAATTTGATTCGGCTTTATCTAGTCGTCGGCTATCATAGGCAATCACCTTTTCTCCGTCTTCAAATTGTTGCGTGAGGATTGCACCAAGACCACAAGCACTGGCGTCTGTCTGCAGACAAAAGGGTTTGTTAAAATCAGAGCACTAGAGTACTGGGGCTTCCGTCAACTGCTTCTTTAAGTTCTCGAACGCGGTTTGCCGTGTGCCATTTCCAATGTTTTTCTTTTCGGAGGAGTTGAGTTAGTGGGTGAACGATTGTTGAGAAATTTTTCACAAATCGTCGGTACCATGATGTCATTCCCAAAAATCGTCTTAATTCCCTCACCGTCGTTGGAGGTTTCAGATTTTGTACAGCTGAGACTTTCTCTGGGTCGGTATGAATACCTTTATAACTAACAACTTGTCCAAGGTACTTCAAGGTTGATTTGAAAAACTCACATTTCTCTGCATTTATCCTCAAATTGGCTTCTCATAGTCGATTGAACACAATTTCGAGATGTTGGAAATGTTCTTCACGATTACGACTTATGACGATGATATCATCTAAGTATGCAAATGCAAAGGGCTCCATTTCTGGTCCAATAACTGAATCCAATGCGCGCTGAAACGTAGCAGGGGCGGAATGTAACCCAAATGGCATTTACCTTCCACTGGAATAGACCCCGTCCCGGTACAGTGAACGCTGTCAAGGGTTTGCTGTCTGGATGCATCGGTATCTGCCAATACCCATTTTTCAAATCCAAGCTACTTATAACATTCGCCTCACGAAGCCGATCCAGTATATGATGTATGCGCGGAAGTGGATATGCGTCTGGTTTCGATTTTGCATTTAGTTGACGATCATCCACACATAATCTCCATTTGTTATTTTTCTTTTTCATCAACACTATTGGCGCGCTATATGCACTTTTCGACTGTTCAATGCATTCGTTTTCCAGTAGTTCGTCGATCTCTTTATTAATAAAAGCTTGCATTGCCGGATTACGAGGATAGTAACGCTGTTTAATGGGTTGATCATCAATCATGGAAATACGATGATGAGCCAGATTACATACTCCTTTGAAAGTGTTGAATTTATCCATTTCTCGTTCCAAAAAAACTTTGATATCATTCAGAACAACATTTGCCTCACTCCTTTGGTCTTTCCCTTTCGTCACCTTATTCATTTGTTTATTATGGTCGTCCTGAATAGTGATACTATTATTTAAGCAACTATCGTCCCATATTTCACATGTCGGTTCTGGTTGGTTTTTCTCGATTGTATCTCCAATAGATTCTTCATCTGTTGATTTCGTAGCATTACCTATTGAAAAATGTAAAATTTTACTGGACCTACAACGTCCATTTAGATTTTGAAACTTAGTTACTGAACCATCGCACTGTTGTGTGGCTCCTATGGCTTGTAAAAAATCGATACCCAGTATGATGTCATCACTGGTGCTCTCCATAACTAGAAACGACAGTTTGACAGTTTTATTTTCATATTTCACATCACACTCCAGCCGCTGAGTAACCAATCGGACAGAACCATTCGCTAAATGGATTGTTTCTTCATGGTGAACCCTAGACCCTTTCACAAGATTGTTTTCTAACACCCGACTACTGACAACACTTCTCATAGCCCCCGTATCGACAGTTGCATGTGAAGGCCATTCCCCTAATGTGATGACTGCATAGACGACATCACCACTGGTATATATATATGGTGGGGCATTGGGACAGCGCATTGTCCAACAAGTGGCCCCACTGAAGTGAAGGATTAGTCGAAGTAGACCACGAAACGACTTGGGTCCTTTTTCGTCCTTCGACTCTCGGATGTTGTTATTGAGTTAAAGCTGGAATGGCTTCCGTTCGCATAACTACATCTTTTGTTAATGCAAGCATCTCATTTAGCTTGAGGTTTCCTGCCAAGTCGTCACCAACCCAATGGTGTCCCAAGACAGTTTTCCTCCTACTTGCCAGTGCTGGACATTGGCACAATATATTCACCGCTGTCTCCTTTTCTTCTAGACATAGTCTGCAAGTGTCTTCCTCAGCAAGTTATCTTTTTGAGGTGATACTTGAAGTTGCCATGTCCAGTAATTAGTGAGGTCAGCCAGCTTAGAGTGCTCCGCGAATAGCTAAACACTTTTATCGCTTCTCTGGCCCACGGTTTAGGTAACATGAGTTTGGTCTGTCTACAAGTGCCCAACTCTCTCCATCTATTAAGATGAAGTGAGATATAACTTATTTACTGTTGCGGACCAGGTGGTAAGGGGGTTGTCGGTCTGTCGCGTGGGACAACACCCCGTAAGTTTTCCGATGGTGGTGTCGGTCTTCGACAACAATCCCTCGCGCGGGTTCCGCGTCTACCGCAAACCCAACAGTAAATCACTACGGGATTCGTACATCGTTGTGCGAAGTGTCCGCTTGCACCGCACCGTCGACATGCAGTTCTTACATCGATATTACCTGTTTGCAGCCTACATACAATATTTGACCAACCGAATGTACTTGGGGCCTCATTCCTTGTTAACTTACTAAGTCTTTCAAACTCGCTCGCCAATTGTATTAAGTCATCTAATCACGAGAACTCACGACGCTTAATATGTAGCTGGTATTCAGGCATACTATTATAATAGAGCCGGTTTAGTTGTTGCTCTCTCGTGTGTCCGGCTTGTCGCGTCATATCCTGCAGCGCCAACATGTAGTCCTTAAACGATTCGTTTTTCAATTGATGTCAATTACGAATGGTGTCCTCTAATTCCTCAAAATAGTTACTGGGTAAGAAAAACCCGATAAAATCTTGTTTGAATTTACTCCACCTCACCCATCTTCGATTATTGTTACGAAACCATTTTAAGGCTCTTCCTATTAGCACTTCTGGCATTATTCTTGGTAAGATGTGTTTTGAGATATTGTATACCTCGGCAAGCTTCTCCAACCTTTCGACAAATGGTAACGCTGGTGTTTCACCATCATAATACAGAGCCCATTTACGCACCTGATTGGTTATTCTTGCTATGTCTCCATAATCCTCTTCAGTTGGCTTGGTTTCTGTAACGGAGGGTTTGTGTGGTTCAGGTTCATGATTCATCGGCTTAGGCGAGCTCCCGCGGTTATATTTCGCTTCAATTTCAAGATACTTCGTTCCTGGTTCCTCTCCCTTCATTACTATTTCACGTAACCGCTTACGAAGGTATTCTACTGTTCCCGTGGTGTCATCGTCGAATTCCTCAAGCATCGCCACTACTGTCGAGGTCTTATGCTCCACTGGGAGTTAACGGAACAAAGATGAAGATGTGTTTGTTATAAGTGAATTGGGTTAGGAAGGTTGTGAGTTAAGCATAACATACATATCTGCACACCAAGTACAAAGTAAAAATGTGCGCTTTGCTATACACTTTGAAACAGAGTATGCATGCTTCTTTTTGATTTATTTTCTACAGCGTTTAGAACAACAGCGGAGCAAGTACAGAGTGCAAAATAGTAATTGAAACTGAAGGAATTGAGGAAATGATAATAGCAACCTGTTATTTATTTCATTACTTCATTATATAAAGATTTCATGTTTCTTAGAACTAAACATTATTTCTTATTTTAATTATTAAAACTAAAATTACTTTTAAGTAGAATTAAATTAAATTGGAATTAAATATAATTTCTTGTTTTAATTCTTAAAACTAAAATTATTTTTAATTTAATTCTTTAAAATGTTGCATTTTAATATTTTTATTCACAAAAAAATTTTTTAAATATAAAAACTTACTTAAAACATGTTTATTATTTATTTCATTATATAAAGATTTCATATTTCTTAGAATTAAACATAATTTCTTATTTTAATTCTTAAAACTAAAATTAGTTTCAATTTAATTCTTTAAAATATAAAAACTTACTTAAAGAATGTTTTTAGCACAAAATAATTCTTAAAATATATAAAAATTAAATTTAAATTTCTAAAAATGAGAAATTATTAGAAAATTTAAAAAAAAATAATTAGAAAATTTAAAAAAAAAAAATAATTAGAAAAGTTTAGTAATTTACACAAACTTACCTTTCGCAACCAAACACAAATTTAGAGTTTGGTAAATGTCAAAACAGCTGATTTCTGCCATTTTTGTTTTTTGCAAGCAAATATACATAAGTTTTATTATAGGAAGATTGTAAGCAATTGTACGAAACTTTGTGCGTGTATTTAGTTGTTGGTAATTGTAGGTTCGTACAATCTGTGCATTTCGTCCACCTCGCAATAAGTTTGCAAGAGAGAGTGAATATCTCTAGAATCATATGTATGTAATACAGAGATATAAAATTAAATTCTTACTGATTGGAGTATTCAAATTAAAAAGCAGTAGACTTGCTTATAGAAACATGCATGTAATAAGAGTTTAGAATATTATGTTCCCACATTGGAAACAAATTCACGTTTTATATAAAAGCTAATTTTGATCTGAAGTTAATAACATTAGAAAGTGTTTCCACAATACCTAAAAATTTCGAATTACTAATTTAATCTTATTCAATTGTGATGCATTTAACCTTGGTAGTATATATTTACTAAAATAAGTAATAAAAAACATATGTATATATATAAAGCACATAAAAAGTAACTGCATTACAGTAAACTAAATGCAATTTTAATATATTGACCACTAGTTTTAGTAGTACGGGCTGCCTTAATTTTGTTACAGGTGATTACGGTTTGATTAAAATTGAAGCTGTATTTAAGAGCGATGTCTGATACCAAGTTCATCGAAGGAAGATTAGAGTCTGCTCTTATTTCTATTCCAAAACCTTGTATACTTGAATGTAGAAACTTATACGAGTACTTGCGAGCGCTTAAACCGGAGCTTCTTGAAAAACTCTACAGTTATCCACCAATATGTTTAGCAGTATATCAGGAGTTATCCGAAATTGCACGGCAATTTGTGATACGTACTTTGTTTGTAGAACAAGCAGTGCCTCAAGCTGTTGTAGCTTCGTGGGGATCTCAGCACTTTGCGAAGTAATTTTTAAAAAGTTCTTATTTTCCTTAATATATAAGTGTCTTGTAGAGAATTGGCAGAAGCAATTGCGTCTCTTTCAGCGCTGTGTGTATGGAGAGTTACACCAATTCCTGGTGGATTATCAGGTTGGGAACTTTGCCCCAACTTTAAGAAGAATTTAAGAGTTGCCTTGTTGGGCGGTGGAAAACCATGGCTCATGTCATACACGTCGGATAAACATTCAAAACCCCGGGATATTTACTCTCTGGATAAGTACGCAGCATCACGTTGGAATTGTGTTTTGAAATTTATGGTAGGACCAGAAACATGTAATAAACTTGGATGCGATAATGAACTAATAAGTCCAGATGCAGTTCGCATATTGCTCCATTCAAATTTAATGAAACGCATTGAGAAAGATGGTGTGAGGATAACAAGTCAGGGATTTCAGTTCTTATTATTTGATACGCAAACACAAGTTTGGACTTTTATGCTACAATATTTGGATGCTTGTGAAGAACGTGGACTTTCCTTGCCAGAATGTCTTTCTCTACTATTTCAATTAAGTTTTAGTACATTAGGTCGCAATTACAGTTCTGATGGAATGAGTTCCAGGATGCTAACATTTTTACAGCATTTAAGAGAATTTGGATTGGTATTCCAACGCAAGAGGAAGGAAGGTCGGTTTTACCCAACTAGACTAGCTCTTAATATGGGTAACAAAAATAGAATTTCTAGTGTAAGTAATGAAGCGAAAAAATCTGAAGGATACATAATAGTTGAGACAAATTACCGCGTGTACGCTTATACCAATGACCAACTTAAAGTATCTATTTTAGCACTTTTTACTGAATTAATATATCGTTTTCCGAATTTAGTCGTTGGTGTTCTTACAAGAGATTCCGTTCGGCAAGCTCTACGTGGTGGAATTACCGCCGACCAAATTATAAGTTATTTGAAACAATATGCACACGCTAACATGAAAATAGATTTAGATCCTAACGCGAGCTCAGCTTTACCCCCAACTGTTCTCGACCAAATGCGACTATGGGAATTGGAGCGCAATCGTTTTACTTTCACGGAAGGCGTTGTTTATAATCAGTTTTTGTCTCAAGCCGATTTTATAACTCTGCGAGATTATGCTAATTCATCTGATGCTCTAATTTGGCAAAACGAAAGAACACGTACAATGGTCGTTACTAGAAATGGTCACGACGATGTAAAACGATTTTGGAAACGTTATTCCAAAAATGTCGGATAAATTTCATTATAATTAATATTTTAAAAATTAGAAATAATAAAATTATTAATATTGTATAAAATTCAATCCTATATTGTATTAAATTCAATCCAGCGTTGTGTGGTTCTAATATAGAATTGGAAGTTGTGGTAAACATAAATTGTAATAATTTTTTTTGTTCCAGAAATCAGATCCCTTCCATCCGCACCAACCTTTTGATTGTATGATCTCGACATCATCAGTACCAGAATAGTGAGGATCTAAAATCAGGAACTTAATATCCCTGGGTTCATTAGAATAATGTATTCCAATTATTGTATGCGCCAAAACTCCACCACCAATCATAACTGGAGTGCCATTAGTTTGAAAATGAAGAACGAGGTCATAAGCTATTTTAGCTAAGTTTTCTCCTATTGCGACATGCAGAATTTTCGACTCTACATTTAGAAATCCTTGAAGACACATGCTTACTTCAGCTGAACCAATCCATTGAGAAGATCCAATAAAGTTTTGTGGTTTATCACCGATTTCAACTAGGTATTTTTGAATTTTATTATGATTCGGTATTTTCTCATCAGTATACCCTTGCAATAAAAACCAGGAAAAAATAGTTTGAAGAGAACGATACGCGCAGCCCCAACCTTTATCTTGTAAATAATGAAAGTAGTAATAATTTCCTTGCGTAATATATTGTTTTCCTTCTAACAATCCAATTGGCCGTACTCCACAGTGAACATTTAATAGCGGTGTTTCCAATTCCATTTCATTTTTAAACTGGCATCGATTTGCACGTCGAAAAAATGGTTGCGTAATTGGCAGTCCAAAATGGCGATGTAGACGTTTTCGACGATTTTGCATAGTTATTTCATCATCACTAATGCCTTCAAGATATGAACAGGAAAGGAAATGTCCTAATTCCTACATAAACACTATTTTTTAATAAATATACACATTTTCAGTACTAATTACCTGTGGAAAAAAGTGGTAGCTGCGAGGTATTAATACCAAATTATTTTCAGTTTCTAAATGTTCAATAATTGCATGCTCAAACAGACGTAACGATCGGCACACACTTTCTATAAGAATATCATAAAGGCGATTAACTTTAGTATTTTTCGACAGCATTGCCATCGATTCCATTTGGAGTGGAATGCAAATTTTATTTACTTTGTTTTTGATACCAATGTTTACAGCAGGCGAACTTCCAAGTTCGTTATCGCCATTTAAATGATTTATCTGGCTATCATAGGATTTCGAAACTAAACCATTTATATTGATTATATCAAATTGACAACCCAAAGCTCCATATATATTATTTAATGTACGAGGGATTAATTTTGTTATCAGAGGTTTTAAATTAGTAGCATTCCCTGCATACTTTTCAGGGGATAATAAATCCTTAATAATAGATTTATTGTCCAAGTTTGTTCCAGTACTTGTAATATAAGCTTCACCTGAGTTGATTTGGAAGGCCATTGTTCCGCCAGATACAAATTTCCGTAACATATGCATATCTTGTGGTATTGTCTATATATGATACGAAAATAAAGCATAAAGATTTTAATATTGAACTTGATGCATCACCTGAGGGTTTTGATAGGTATACAATTTTAAATTGCATTTAAGTTTAGTAAAACAAAAATCCCTATAAAGATGTTCTGAATCCATTATATCATACGGTATGTCTTGCAATTTGCTATGCATAAATATAGATGCGCGCAAACCCACCAATGTTCCAAGTTCGCAATGCAATAAAATCGGATTATCAGTTATATCCACATCTTTAATTATCGTACTGAGATGAGCTTCAGCATCTGTACAATCACCAAATTTGACTAGCCCGCACAAGTCGAGCTCTGCTGGAAACTTATGCTGTATTTGTTTATAATTGAGATGACCAATAGTAGATTCTACATTGAACCCTACTAATAATAAAGTGCCATCTCCATAAAAAACTCCAAACAGACATCCACTGCACTGCTGATTTATACTTTGGATTCTCTAAAAACAATATGTAATATTATTGGCAATACAATAGCTGGTACCTTACCTTTAAGAGAAATTCGGACACTTTCACCTTTGGCAACATTACCATTGATATAAATTGTTTAATTACAATGCTCTATTAAAGATATTTTGAGAAATACGTTGACTAAACGCAATCTCAAGCATACACCCTGGTGCACCGTTACACTAAAATTGTTACACATCAAATACTAGGCCTGATCAAAGAATATCACTAAAAGAACGGAAACCACGTCCGCCTGAGAATAGAGAAAAAAATTGCAGAAAAAAATTAGTTCTTTATATCACATCGGCACAAATATTGAAAAAGGTGACATTAATACTGATAAAATATAAGATTATACTTTCCGACGGTCTATATTTGGTAAAATTACTTACGACGTCACGTAAGAATCTGTTCACACTCACCGAACATGATTTTGTGTGCATTTGTTTACAATTAGCACAATATATTGACATAAATTCCCTCCAAATCACTTTGTAAAAATGTAATTTATTTTTTATTTCAATACTGTTATCAATATTGTTAATATATATTGTTAATATATTATATTCAATAATAAAATGACTTGCAACTGCGATTATAAATCTATAATAGGGGTATTCACTCTCTCTTGCAAACTCATTGCAAGGTGCACGAAATGCACAGATTGTACGAGAATGCAAATAACAACAACAAAATACACGCACAAAATTTCGTGCAATTGCGTGCAAACTTCCAATGCTGAAACCTATGTATATTTGCTTGCAACAAACCAGAAACGGCGGAAATCAGCTGTTTTGTCATTTGTTGCTTCTCATTTTTAAATTTGAATTGACTGTTAGTAAAATTTCGAGATATGTTAATCTATGGCTATGCTATATACATGCGTTTCGTTCAATAATTTAAATCGATGTGACCATTAATTAAGTTTTCACAAATATAATATTATATACATATACATTTGTGAATTAATTTATCTATTTATCAATTTCAGCGAAACTTACGAAAATTTGTTCACATTTTGAACTATTGAATGAAGTGTTTGGACGCATGTCTAATTTCGTACGGAAACATTGCCATAGCCACCAACTAGTTCTGCGCTAGGCAACGAAGTTTTTTTTATTGAATCGTCTGCAGACAACACATCATCCAGCTCTGCACCGAAAGTCGTGCGTTCTGCTGTGCAAAGCCCCACTACCCCCCTCGATAAAAAATATAACAAATAACAATAATAAATTAAGAATTAGTTATATTTTTATTATACTAATTATTTTTATATTATATTATTATTATATTAATTATTTTTATATTATATTATTATTATACTAATTATTTTTATATTATATTATTATTACATATATCTCCAACAACAAATAATGTAGCGACTTTACGAATAGCCGCATTTTCGTCTGATGAACCCAAACGATATAAAACAATATCAATCCTTAATAGTTTATTAGTGAGACTATTAAGGAAAATACGTTCCAATTTACTCTAAGCATCTGACAAAAACGGCCTTCATCAAATTCTTGAAGAATGGTAGATCTCCATTGAATAAATTTTGGTACGGGTTGGTGATTTCTGTGATGGTTTACTAAAGTAAACAAAAGGTCTTTATTTAATTGCTCCATCACTTCCCAGTAATTTGCATCATCTAACAAATAGAAACTATATAGTAGTGAAAACTACATTAACAACATGTTAATACCTTCAATCAGAATATTAAAAGCACTATTTTCAATAAAAAAATCTATACATTTTTGTATTTCACTTGTTCGCGGCATTGTTATACTTTTATTTTTCTTTGCTCAATTTGATACGGCTGCAAAAACAGCTGATTCATTTTGATGATGCAATTCTGCAACAGAGGTGTTCTCGCAGTCTTGCAGTTTTTGTATAGCATTCTTGCATTTCGTGCTCCTTGCAATCAGTTTACAAGAGAGAGTGAATACCCCTAATATATTTATATACAGTTTGTCAGGTATGAGTTTACTCATTCAAAAAAAATTGAAAATTTCAACTTCTTATTCAAAAAACACAACTTTTTGTTTTAGTATATATGTATTTTATTTTATATATTTACTAATTATTACATCAGGAATATAAATATAAAAAAATTATAAAATTATTGAAAGAAGTACACAAAATATGACAAAAACAAATTCTACATCATTTTTGGACTGTCAAGTAACTGTTTCCACAACTTGTGTTTTTCCATTATTTTGCATTATTTAAAAGGTAAATTTACAGTAATTGACGCCTTACATTGATTCTTGTCTGCGTTGTTAATACTTAATTAGGTATAAGTTATGAATCAGATTACATTAGTGACTTATTATTTAAAATTAAGATGTTTTATGATCATATACGATCTTTTCAGTGTTTTGCGAACTTATTACAAGTACCAATATTGCTAGAAGTTTTTTTTTTATTACATTAAAAAAATAATGAAGACTTTAAATTAACAACATGTAGTCATATTGACTAATAAGAGGTTTTTAATTAATATTACAAGTTTACATAAAAAAAGTAAGTAAACAATAGCAGATGAGCATATAGATCTGACTAATCATCTCATTACTGGTTGAAACGCCTCAAAAGATCATTTGGTTTGAAGCATCATAAGCGTCTGTGTGTGACATCGCAAAGTAACGCCGGAATAGTGCTTTTTAAGTGTTGACTCAGCCTGTTATAATGTATTTTAGCAGACTTTTGTATTTCTTGCATTACAGTAGGTATTTCAAGCATTTCCCACATACCACGGAGCGTTAACTGCATCCCTGAGAGCTTTATTTTGGAACCTTTGCATCATATCTATAATATGATTTCTTGCACAACCCCAAATTAAGATACCATAATGCCATACCGGCTTAAAAACTTATTAGTAAATCATAAGTTTGTTTTGCTGAGATACTTTAGATCTCCTTCCAATAAGCCAAGTTAGCTTTTTGTATCTTATGTTGAGATCAGTTAATTTTTTCTTGACGTGTACATTCCATCTCAGTTTAGCATCTAGGCTCATACCCAGATATTTCGCAGTATTAGCAACTGGAATTTTTACGCCATTTAGAAATAATGGAATTTGGTTTTCTACGTCTATTTAACTTTGCCGAATCCCAAGGACTATTTATAAGTAGTGCATCCTTTCAGCACAAGTGTGCACACGAGCAAACGTGGAGAATACCAGGACAAAATGATGCCAATCAAATTGATTACATATTAGTAGATAAGAGACATATGTCTTCAGTTATTGACATACGATCTTGCAAATTGTGACTCAAATCACTATATGGTTGTTGGGCGTAATCATCAAACGATATTGGCTAAAATCGCAAAAAATGAATACAATAAGAAACATTGGAACGTCGAGGCCGCCATAATAAACGAATCTGTATAAGCCACTTACCAGGAAAAAATTGTAAATAAACTAGAAGAAAATAATGAAACGATAAGAGAATCAGACGTAACAGTAAGCTGGCAGGACATTAAACAGGCCGTACTTACCGCAGCAAACGAAACTATTGGCCAAAAAACTCACTCCAACAATGAATGGTTTGATTCAGAATGCAAAAAAATTATCAAAGCAAAAAACGATGCTAGAAAAATATACATTGAAAATGACACCCGACAGGATTTGCTTAAATATCAAGAAAAGAAGAAAGAAGCCAAAAAAAAAAATGCGAAAAAAGAAAAAAGGTTTTTTGAGAAAAGAACTAGAAAGCATTGAACAAGATTTTCAAACAAACCAAACAAGATCAATGTATCGCAGAATACGAAAACATACATGCATATTCCAACCGCACTTGACAGTTTGTAAAAATAAAAGTGGTGAATTGATCAGTGATAGAAAAGAAGTTTTAAATATTTGGAAAAACCATTTCAGCGATCTGCTGAAGAGCAATGAAGTCGAAGCATCTAGTGATACCGTATGGACAGTAGAAAATATGCTAGAGAAACCTATATCTGAGGACACAAAATAAGCAATAGAGAAGTTAAAAAACTTTACAGCTAACAGAGCATATTTTGCCCATATCAAGCTTATGAAATCAACGTTACTATCAAAGGAACAGTAGTTGCACATATATAAAACTGTCATTAGACCGGTTCTTACCTACGGCTGCAAAACATGGGTTCTTAAATTCAGCGACAAACAACTGCTCCTGAGATTTGAAAGAAAAATACTCAGGAAATAATTTGGCCCGGTGTGCATAGAAGACGGCACATATTGTATACGGTATAACGACGAATTGAATGTCTTGAACGAAGGCCGAACTATAACACGATACATAAAACCCCAAAGATTGAGATGAGTAACGAAAGAATGACTAAGAAAAATTTCGACTCAAAGCCAGAGGGGAGTAGAAAAAGAGGACGACCGCGACAAATATGGTTACAAGACGTAGAAGACAACATACGAACGATGAAAATAACACAACACAGAAAGAAAGGGAAATGCCATCCTGGTCTGTGATGCCAAAACGATGATGATGAGATACTATTGTGTTTAGGATTTCTTTAATTTCATGAATTTTGTTCGTATCATCAAATGACTCAAACGTTAAGATGAACATATGCAGTGGTTTCTTGATTTTAAATTGTAGTTTGTTAAGTGCGCTGACAATTTAAAAACCCTTTTCTGCGAGGTCGCCTACAATATCTTTAGGATCGCATGAGTGATGCAGGTGTTTTACTATAACTCTACTTGCCAGACGTAGCACAAAATTTTTCCTCGAAAATTGATTTCGGCAGTTATATCCCACCAACAGTTTTTTTTCAACCGGATGAAGAACCAGATAACCTTATAGATCCATCTATTCTTGAAGAGCCAATAATTAAGGATACTGTGGTAGAGGAAAGTAACGATATTATGAAATTGACTTATTTGCTAAAACAAAAGCAGATAGTTATACAACAGATAGAAGATGAAATAAATACGTTAAAAAGTGATTCAATTCACAGAGAACAAATGTTAACAAATGAAATCGCATTTCTGCAAAAGGAAATAAAAAAACTGAAACAAGAAAAAAATGAAGAATTAGCAAAAAAATATGATGGAGACACAGCATTAAAATGAAAATCAAAGCAAAAGTTCATTGAATATTTCAAGTAAGCTTGTTATTAATCATTTTTTTTTAGCATCAAAAAAATTATTTTAATTGTTTTTATTATCAATTTAAATTCATTTGATATTTCAAGTAAGCTTGTTATTAATGATTTGTTATTGGAATCAAAAAAATTATTTTAATTGTATTAGGTGTAATAAAAGGAAATCTATTATTTTCCCAATAAATGGTTAGTTATCTGTATTCCGCGTTATATAAGTTCAATTGGGTTGCACTATATGACGTTAGAAATATGAGAATCCATATTAAAAAACTTTCAACAATTTAATGATTTGTTAACTCAGATTTGTTTGAGCGCGCGTCAAATATTGACACTAACAAAGAGATAATGCGCCAAATTTTACAGTTTTTCTTTGATATAGGTAAAAACGCAAGCCAAGCGGCTGCAAAG